ACTTACTGCAAGTCACTGCAATCTCTGATCTCATTATAATAAAGAGGCTCTTGTGAGAGGGTTTAGAGTTTAATCTTTTCTTAATCACATCACTTATTCTCACTGAATGATTGAATAACTTCTGATAATAAATTAGAGACAATGAGTCAGCCGTCTGATATGTCTGAACTGATTGAAAGACTCAATTCACTGACTACATGCATAGTTTCAGATGTTTTAAACAGAATAATGATCACTGCCTGTATCACATCTCTCTGTTCAAGCAGGCAGAAGTTACAAAGCTGTCTGTGTCTATTACAGAGACAGCAGTGATTCTCATAAGTGTCTTCACAATGAGTAAGTTGTCAATTCAGTGTACAACAGAAGAAGGAAGATCATCAGTATTTACAGCAGAGTGCTACATCTGTGAAGGCTCTCATTACATCAACTGCTGTCTCAAAAAAGAGGAGAACAGCAATTATCTGATGAATCAAGTTGAACTGAAGAGTACTGAGAAAGATGATAACAAGCTGCTGAATCTAGACCTCAGTCTAGATTTCAACAGTGAGTTAGAAAAATAATCAGTGAGACAGACACTGAGAAGCTTATCTTGTCTACAGACATTCTCTCAGATGATTATCAGAACATCTTTAATGCTGACATATATATGATTGCAGCATGTGATATCTCTATAAGTGATCAAGAATACATTAGCAGACTACAGTATTTGTCTTACATCTTTCTCACCATTCTCATCATTACATCACAAGATGATCTCTCTGTTTATGTGAATACAGATGTGAGTATATCACTTATCAATGTAATAATAGCAAACCTATTCTTCTCTCATTGTTGACTGACCTCTATGCCGCATGATTGACATATGAGTATTCAAGGAGTTGACTCGGAAGCTGATGAATCAAATCTATTCATAACAACAGACCTCATCTTGAGAGCAGATGACAATTCTCTTTTCATTGTTGAAGATGAATTTCACTTAGTGTAATATCTCAGATGCAATATAATCATAGCTAATGATGTATTATCATCAGTGAAAGCAACTATCAATATTCACAGTGAGCTTGTTACATTTCACAGAAGATATTTCATAAATGCCAAGATCATCAGAGACACTATCCACGCGGGTAGACACCTGTCAAACTCACAGCTGCTCTGGCAGTGAAAGAAGATTGTCATTTGTGCTGTCAATGTTGATGTCATTTATCATTCTGACTGAAAAGATCCCCTGTTTCCTACCTTGTACATTGAATTACATTTGACAGATACGGAAGACCAGGATAATCTGCTTCAAATTCCCACAGCAGACACTCTCATCAAGTGAGTTCAAGTGAATATATCAGATCACTGAGCGGCAGAAGACTGAGCAGTCATTCAAGTGATCATCAACTGACATTACAAACTATTTAGCTTCAGCCTAGGCTTATTTTTGAATAATGTTAAGATGCCACTGCAGTTCATTGATGAGAGCAACTTTTCCAGCCTGAAACAGAGATTCTATTCTCTATCTTGAAGAGATTGTGAAGCTGCTGACCAGATTCTGAACTCACTTCTGTAAGATAGAAGAATTGAACATGTTTCTCTCAGAGACAGAAACCTCATTGCTTCACTCACCTTTGTAGTCTGGCTTAGAGAGAAGTCAAGAGTGATGATTGATTTGTAAAAAGTAAACACACACTTACTCCTCAATGCATACTCTCTACTGACATAACAAGATATATTGCAATCACTCAGCAGTTCTACAGTATTCTCATTCATGAATATTCATCAAGACTTCTTTCAATAAGCAATTGAACAGAGTGATTGTTTCAAAACCACATTTATGATCTCACACTGAGGTCTTGAACATTTTACAGTTGCTACAATAAGGTTGACAACCTCACCTGAGTTCTTTCAACAGTATATGAAGAAGATTCTAGTGAAATTCCTATGATGATTTGTGTTAGTCTATGTAGATGATATCATCATCTTCTCTCACTTGCTGAATGAACATCTTTATTATATACAGCAAGTCTTCACAGCTCTCAAGATATCTGAAGTAACAATGTCATTAACTAAATGTCATTTCACATATCTCTCAGTGCATTTGCTGAGTCATCATATCAGCTGACTAGACATATCTACTCAAGAAGAGAAAGTAGCTGCTATTGCTAATCTAGTCTTTTCTATAACACTCAGAGAACTAGAAGGAATTGTCAGCCTCTTCAATTATTATCATGATTTTGTCAGTTTTTATACAGATCAGGTGAAAGTATTAGAGACTCTCAAGATCAAGTTGCTGTGTAATGATTCAAAAACAGGCCAGAAAAGAGTGTTATATGCAGCTAAGATCAAGTTGATAAGATTTGAGAACTCACTGCAGTTCCACACTCTGCTCATGAAAGTCAGACATTTATTTGACATGATAAAGCAAGCCTTAATAAACACCCTCACCTGGGCATATCTCAACTTTAAATGTCCCTTCATATTGTACATGAATGTCAGTAAGCAAAGAGGTATTGAAGTAGTTCTACATCAAGTCAGAATGAATAATATTGAAAGATCTGTTCTATTTCTCTCTCATCAATTGAGTGTGACTGAAAAGCACTACTGAGCAACTGAATTGAAGTGTCTTGAACTCATATAAGCCCTGCAGAAATTACTGCAGTATTTAGATGACAAGTTTACAGTTATCACAGATCATGTTGCTCTTATATCTGCTTTTCAGTTGCTGATAATAGATCATTGTAGCAACTGACTGATGAATTGAGCCTTAGTTCTAAGCTCATATCTTTCATGAATGACAATCCACTATTGCAAGGATGCCGCACATGCTAATGCTGATGCTCTATTCAGATTGTGCTGTCTAGATAATGATTCAGAAGAGATTCTCTCTGAAGAGTAGAAAAAAATTCATCAGATCATCATCAATCAAGCAGGTAGACTGATGACAGATGCATCTTCAGTGAAGATATGTATGATTTCAACTACAGCAATAGAGCTCATCAATGAATTCAAAAAGCAACTACACTGAGATATTCCCTGCAACCCGGCATTGAGAAAGGTCTTTTACAAGGCCAGTCAGAAAGAGTGATATCAGTTGTTTACAGTGCAGAACAGGCTATTGTTCTTTGAAGAATTGTGTCTCTATATTCTCAAATTGTTGGCATGAGACATCATCTGTATATGTCATGATGCAGCAGGTCACCCTGGCCTTCATCAAACAGAAAACCTTATTCATCAGTTCTTCTTCCTTCCTCATATCTGAAAGAGAATCCTGAACCATCTATCATGATGCCTCAATTATCAACTAGTCAAACTGCTGAATCACTTGCCAGAGGGCAAATTACACCTCATCTCACTCTCAAAACAGCTGTTTGAAGTTCTTTCAATTGATTTTATTACAGGATTATCTGTGAGCAACAATCATGACACTATATTGATAGTCACAGACAAATTTTCAAAAGCAGTAATTCTAATTGCAGAACAGAAATAATGAAATACTTCATAATGAGTGAAAGACTTCTATAAGAAGATAATCTGCTGCTGGCAGCTCTCACTAATGATTATTTCAGATAGAGATCTCAAATTTACATCACAATTTTGAAAGTCAGTCCTTCAACTCATGAGAATTAAGGCATGAATGATAACTGTCTACAATTCTTACTCAAACAGTCAAAGCAAGTGAATTAATCTCACAGTTAAAGTCACATTGCAAACACTTCTTATAGATGAATATGAAGCAAATTGAACTGCTCTGCTTAAATAAGTGAAAAGAGTGTTGAACTCAGTAGCTGCATAGTCAGCAATGATCTCTTTCTTCAAATTACTCACAGATGTAAAGTCTAGATAACTGTCATTGAACAATGAGAAAGCTTCACTAGATATAGCTGAGTTCATCATCATATGAGATGTAGTATAGCAAGACATTCTTGACTCATACACTCTGATAAAAGCTAGGATGACTGAGTCCTTCAACTGATCTCATTCTCAATCAACTATTCAGATTGATGATTGAGTCTTCTTGAACCTCACTCAAAAAGCTCAAAAGAGCTATATGTTAAAAGAGATGTTCAAGCTATCACTCTTACAGATAGGCTCATTTCATGTTCTTCAGAAGATATCAGATACTGCATTTTAATTGAAACTGCCAGCTGATTGATGAATGCACTCAGTAATCTTTATCATTCATCTGAAAAAGACTGTGTTAACAGGAGCAGATATGAAGCATTCATTATCAGAATCAGTACTTATTAATGATCAGTTGCAATTTGAAGTTGAAAACATTATAAGAAAGTGCACAGAGAACAGCAAGACTTATCTTCAGATTAAGTGAAAGAGATATGAAGACCTGATCTGAGAGTCTCTTGAAGTCATTGCACAAGACATCTCACACCTGGTCAAGGTCTTCATGATCAAGAAGCCTCACAGTCAGCTGAGTAAATGATAGAAAGAAAAGTAAAATAGGAACAGAGTGAAAGAAAGAAAGGAAATATATTATAATCTAATTTTAGCTATTAAATGAGAAGACAAAGAAAACAAGAAAATCATCATCTTTCACTCTTTTCATCATTTCACTCTGCCTCTTCTCATCAATTATCTTCAAGCTCTTCCTGCAGCTTGACCTCCTGCCTAGTGAGACATGCATCTCAAAATGCAACATCTGCTGACAATCTCTTATTCATAAGATCACTGAAACACACTCTGCTGAGTAACTTAAAGAAATGATTATTAGTCACAGTATCTCCTGCAGCTGAAATCACATTGATGAACTCAGCTATCTTATTCAGTTCCTTCTGCACAGTCTGAACAGTGTCCAGATTATACTTGTCAAGGTTAGATGGCTGTCTCAGTATCTTCAAATCTTGAGCTCTACAATCAACTGTGCGGCCTTCAGAAGATAGAATTAATGACTGTCACACATTGCTTATCTTGACCTTGTGAACCACCTTAGCAGGGGTTGAATAGCTTGTCTTTGCCTCACTGCCTGTCTTCACAGATGTTGAGATGCTCTGCTCACTGATTCAAACACATTTTGAGAGTTTCAGTGCAATCAGACTCAATGCCTTGTGCTTGAAAGACATTGACATTCTCTTCATTGAAACTATAGTTGAATCATCCTTCTTTCTCATATCACTGATCTTAATGATGTCATCAACATTCATCTTCTCAGCTGCAGTCTTTTCAAATTCAGACATACTTTCTTTAAACAGTAAGTTATCTGTGTTTCATCTGAGTTCATACCAGCTACAGCAATTTAAAGAGCAGTGAGATCTCTTATTTTCTCACTAACAGTTGACACAAGTGTCATACTCTTGCTGTGTCTGTTTGTCATCTGCAGAGATAATCATACATTTCTTGAATCATCTCTGGCTCTTCATGCAAGACTGACACAACATAGAAGCTATTTCTCTATGAGTCTACAGAATAACAACATTCTGATTAGCAGAATCCTTAGAATTGATAATCTATGAAGTGATTAGCTCATCATTATTCATTCATCAGTGCAACTTTCACTTGACAGATAACTGTCTCAAATCTTTAATCAATCACTGACTGAGTAAAATGAAAAATTCATAATTGATAAATGATATCTCCTCACTATGTCTTATGAGTCTTTCAATGATTGAGACAGTATCTGCAAGCCTCTTCACAGTCAGGTCTCACATGATTAACATGCTCAGATGAGTGAGCTTGTCATTCTGCTGAAAGTGCAAGTCAGTCTTGTCATTGTGATGCAGGTGTCTCATATGTGTCATGTCATATGGCCAAGGCACCTGGTCACTCTCAACATTCTTCTTTCACTCTGACTTCTTCAAAATGTTGTCACTCAGAGTTTCATGCTGCTTCTGACTAGTTCTTCAGTACTTCTTGTTCTCTTCTGTCAGCAATGATTCTTCAGTATTCATATCTGTCTGTTCAGCTTCTGCTTTTGATTCTACTTACAGCTCTTCATCATCAGCTGCTTCTGTAGCAGTCTTCTGACTCTCTCTCCTCTCATTCATCTTGATATCTTCCCCTGAAAACCAGTATGTGAATAATCACAACTTTTTCAAATAAGTAAACAGTGTTATAAGCTTTCATGTCACAGTCTTAGATTCTTCTTGACTCTTCAAGCTTCTGTCATGTGATTCATCTGTTGACTCTTCTGTGATAGCATCATGCAGCCTAGTCAAGTGATGATAAGATGTCACTGTCTTTTCCTTATCTTGACCTTTGATCACTTTGTATGTGAAAAGATAAGTTAATAGTATCAGAAGCTCATCTGTCTGAAATTCTAACTCTTCATCTTCATCATTTTCTTTCATCTCATTCTCATCTATCTTCTCTTCACTGGTCTCCTCACCTGTCTTCTCTTCTCTATCACTCATATGAAGGAGGGCATCACACTCCTCCTGACTTAATGACTGAAACAATTTCTCTAAGATCAAGGCCTTTTTCATCATACTCACTGCGCCCATCTTCGCGGCTGTCAACTTCTTCTTAAAACTCATCATTTTCATGGTCTAATCTTCTGTACATTGCAATTTTTGCTAATTCTGCTATGTAAAATTTTTAGCAAGATGTATGAGAAATAAGAGAAGAATAAGAAGGAAGTGATTACAATATATATATTGATGTGATCATTCATCTACATCAATCTCTATCACTCACAGAACCTTTCTTCTGTCACAATGAAACTTCTGTTCTCATCTATCTCATCAAAGAACCCTTTCTCATTCAAGCTTCTTATAATTTCTTTACAATTTCTTTCTTTTCTTACAGCTGTTTTTAGATTAAAGAACTTCAGTCTCTTTCTTATCATTTCTTTTCAAGTCATTCTTACATCTTTCACTCTTTGTAGGGACAAACAATTCTTATATCTGGTCACTCTTTGTATGAATAAGCAATTCTATCACTCAGTCTCCCCTTTTCTTTGATATCTGCAGCATATGTAAACAGACTAGCACTTCTTTGAGCCTAGCACCTGTGATACCTGTCACCTTTTTTCAATGTCATTTTTTCTCCGCGGACACATCCTTTTGAATAGGGGGACTGTGGCGTGCTTCCACCCCCTATTCAAGTCAATCCCCTATCCAGCTCTAGCTTCCGCTCCATTCCTTGCTGTTTCCTGAAGCTTCCGCTTCTACCTTCTCCCTTCATTCTTTCCTTCATATGCAATCACTTCTTCTATGAGAGCGTCCGCTCCTTCTCTACAGAGTCTCTGTTCTTCCCTTCATAGGCGATCACTCTCTATCCAAGTCAATCCTCTATCCAGCTCTAGCTTCTGCTTCATCCCTTGCTGTTTCCTGGAGCTTCCGCTCCTACCTTCTCTCTCTCTGTCCTTTCCTTCATATGCAATTGCTCCTTCTATGAGAGTTAATCTCTATAAAACAATCACTGTATATATAAGGGCGTACGCCCATCTCCCATCTTTTAGAGAATAAGACAAGTTTTTACCCTTATATCTGACCCTACGTAGCGGCGTACGCTACACTCTTAATCAGATTAGAGACAGATGTTTTCTTCTTTACAATTTCAGAAATAGTTTCACAACTACAGTTAAATAAGAACTGAGTTTCAGTGACCTTTTTCTCACAGAAGATGCAACTTATAAAGATTAATTATAGTATTCATAATCAAGAGTTTCTTATAATAGTGAAATTCTTCTATCACTGATATCATTACTTTTTGAAACCGCTTCACCACGAACTCGCTCGATTTTTCGAATAAGAACCCGCCAATAGATACATCGAAAAGCCCTCGATCATACGAGCATTTTAACCCCATCGCCGACCGCATACCCCGTGTGGTGGTGGAGTTATCCAGCCAAATGTGAACCAGACATTGTTCGAAACTCCTGTGTGGGATTATCCCCGATTCTCCCCTATCACACCACAACCCCGGGCCAAATTGCCATACAAATTGTAAGATGAAGAGACCTAGCCATATGCATCAATCTTCTCGATTTTGGAAGATCCCTGATCTGTAGTTGTGGAGATATCTGAGGAGCAATCTCCGTGAAAACCCTGTCCATCTTTGATGTTTCAAAACACCAACGCCAAGTCTCACCCTCGTACCGCCCTTCTCAATCTGGCCCATCCCCGGCAGAAAAATACAAAAAGATACCTCAGTGATAATATCAAGCACATAATCAATGAACACTTCTGAAGTGCAATCTCTGCGGTCTGTCTTCAGTGTACCTAGACATCAACATCAAGTCTCACTCTTGTACTACTTCTCTCAATCTGGCCCATCCCCGGCAGAACAATATAAAAAGATACCTCAGCAACAGTATTCAATATATAATCAGCAGATAATGAGTCAACAGAACAAGTTAACAGCACATTAACAACTATAAATTCAGTATATCTCAAGATCTGACTGAGCCTTTGATCCCTGCACAGTGAGATATATTAAATCTAGTTTTAATATCTCAATATTCAATAGATTCTGTAAGAGATTGAGAACAGTAACACTAGATTTCTATTGAATTTGAGAATTAACTTTATATTGATATAATCATTGACAAAGTCTTCTATTTTAGAATATAAATAACCAGTTTCTCTACATTCTGCTGATAATATTTATATTATTATATAGAAACAGACTTATATTCTCTATAATATCAAGACTCTGAAGAGAGAAAGTCTTGATAGAGAGTATATAATAGTGTATATCTTAGCAGTTTCTATCTCATTCTTCTGCAGCAGTTAATACAAAAAAAAAAAGATCTTAGAAATAGTTTTTTATTTCTCTTAAAAAAGTAAGGTGTTTTTCTCTGAGTTTTATATAATATTCTTATAAAGAATTAAAAACAGAGCTGTTTTCTGTCATAATTTCATATTCTTTTAAGTAAGAATTACTTTTTCAGTGACTGAAGAGCTTTCATTAATACTTAATTCTTTTTTATACTTTTTATTAACTGATTTGAGTTGCACACTTGTTGTGTGAGAAGAATTGAATGATTTAGAATAAAATTGAATAGTTTTAATGCATTTCTCTGTAAAAAATTAACTTATTTTTTATCAGTTTTTCTCTCAAAAACTGTTATATTATCTGATTTATTATCAATTGATATCATACTTTTCCTCACTGTATTTCAAGAAAGAGATTGTAAAGATTTTATTGATTTATCTTAAAAATCAATTTTAGTTTATTAGATTCTCTTCAAAAATCTAACCTAGTTACTGAACTAGTGTGAAAAAAATCAGGTGTTTTATACACAAAAGTCTTTTATTCTTCTTTTGAAACAGTCTGACCAACTTTTCAATTGAAAACAGACTTAGAAATATCTCAATTGAAACAGTCTGACCAACTTTTCATTGAGTGAAAACAATGAGTTCAAAAATACACTTAGTTGATGTGAAAAAAGATGCTTTCTCAAATGCTATTCCTGAGATTGAAATTCTGAAGAGAAGAAAGAAAGAAGAAATAGAGAAACAACAAGTTCTTGAAATACAGGAACTTGAAAAAGCAAGCAAGATTCTTGGAAAGCAGTGTCTGAGTGAGATGAATGAAGAAGTTCTGTTAATTCTTCATGCTCAGGCCAGACAACTACAGGAGGTGATCAAGTTCAAACTTGGAATCTCAAACACAGTTCAAAAAACCTTGAAAATTCCTAGTACAATCACTGACTCTTCATCTTGCTCTTCTTCTTTCTTTCTTCCTACTTCTTCTTCTTCTTTGAATCAGAAGAAAACATATGCTCAAGCAGCTGAATCAGCTGTCTCTAAACCTGCTATCTCAAAACATGCTCAAAATCCTGAGAAAACTGAGAAGAATAATGCTCATACTTCTATTCATAGAAAAGTGAAGAAAAAAATACAAAAGAAGAAAAACTTTCAAATCTTCAGAAATAGAAGACTTATTCTCAAAGTCTCAAACCAGAACATCTTATAAAGAAACAAGCTAAACTCAAATCTCATTTTCAGAATCAGAAATGAAATTAATCAGCAGTTCTTTTCTCAGTTGATAACTGATATTGAAGTTCAAAAATCAGTTATAGCTTCAATTGAGTCATTCTTCTTTGAAAACTCTATCATTCTGACTACAATGCCTGAATTCAGTGCAGAATTCCTTATTCAGAATGAGAATCTCTGAAAATCAGCAGTAGAATCTTTGTTAAACATAATAATTCTATCTGAGAGAGATGAAAAGTGAGATAAATTCATTCTTCATGATATTTCAGTTGAAATTTTTGACTGTGAAGAAGAAATACTACTTCTCAAAAATGAATTAGAAGAATACAACTCTATTCAACTGAGAAAAGAGCCTGTATAACTAAATTTAATTAAGTTTGAATAAAGCAGAAGAAATGCCTCTGTGCTAGTATATATAAAGATACTTGAACAGTCAAAGATTTCTGAAGTAAGAGTAGCAGGTTTGAAAATGAGAGTTCATGAATACAAAGAAGTAGCAGGTTTGAAAATGAGAGTTCATGAATACAAAGACTCAAGAATGAATCTCAAAGCTCAAATATAGTGTTCAAACTATCAGAGATATGAACACTTTGCAATCTTCTATTTCAGAGACTCAAAATATGCATTCTGTATCAGAGATCACAAAACTAGTGAGTATAAATGTGAAACATGCTCAAAAAGAGATGAAATATATCAATATACTCTGCTTAAATGCTCTAATTGCAAAGAAAAACATGCATCTAGCTTAAAAGAATGTATATTTGCTTCAAGAACTCAAAAGAACTAAAGAAAAGATGAAGCTCAAGCAAATGTACAACTGAAGAGAATAGTTAAGTCAGTAAACTCACAACTGCAAGCTTAAAAAGAAGAAACTCTCAACTATCTAAATCTTCAAACTTCAATTCTCCAGCTAAATGTAAACAGAATTTGAATTCTCAAACTTCTGTTAAGATTAGAGAATTGAGAAATGACTCTGATAATAAACTAGATATAATACAAGTAGTTGAGATTTCTATTCTTCAGAATAGTTATAATCTACTATCTAATAATAGTGATTAGATTCTACTCTACTCTCTTTTAGTATGAATATACAATAAAAACAATAAAAAAAGTTTAAAAACTCTTCAAAAATCACATTTATTTAAAATAATGTGAATAGAAACTCAAATTACATTTATTCTTGTCTTCAAATTGCATTTGAATAAAAAGTTGATTTTATACTGCTTCAGAAGCTGAATTTTGATACTGAGTAAAAATATATCATTTCTTATTCAAGCTACTACTGCTTTATATCTCAAAAGTCTGAGATAAAGTCAAGAGTAGTAATCTATGAAAGAAAGAGATCAAGATATCAATTTAAACTAAGATTTAATATCATATCTGACTCTGATATTCTGATGAGTGATATTATAGATAAAGAGAATGAGTTTGATACTATATAACTCATAAATATCTATAATGAGAAGTCATTGAAGAAAAATAATAACATCTGAACAATTAATAGAGAATTTCTGAACATAACTTCATCAAGAAACTCTATAATTATAGAAGATTTTAATGCATATCATCTCTGATGAAATTCAGAATGCAAAAGAGCAGTA